ATCCTACAGTGTTTTTACAGTCTTTATTTTACAGTTAAAATAAATGTTTATTAAATAAAGTTTAACGTTACAACTAATCTTGTATCACTTTAAATCGAAACGGTGACATTGGATCCAGGTGAAATCAGACCTTCCTCTCCCTCCTCTTCCTCACCTCAGACCTTCATGGATCCTTCAGAACCAAACAGAACCCGTTCATCACATTTCTGTTGGTCTCATGGTGTTGTATGGTTTGTTTTTATTTAGGCTTGTTGTTGTTTACTGTAAGAACAGCTGTTGTTTATTGTTGCTGAAAACTAAAATCCTCCAGGTTCCACCTGATCTGTGATTCAATCAGATTTCATGAATCTGATTGAAATCAGGTCAGTTTAGGGTTTTTTTTTCTTCTTCTTCTTCTTAAAGTGAAATATTTGAAGGTTCCAGAATAAATGAGTAAAAAATATTTTATTTAACCCATTGTGGCTCGGAGCAAAGCCTGATGGGAAGGCCAGCGGCTGACCCGTTGTCCTGTGTTTGATTCCAGAACACGTGACGTCTAACGCCAGCGATAGTGAGAGTAGCTACCGTAAGTCTGCCGCCGCTTCGTTTCACTAACGATCAAACAGTAACGAGCGCTGGCTCCTGATTGGACAGTGACAGTGTGACATCATCATTTGTTTCTGTCTCTAACACTAACAAGCTCTGGCTGCTGATTGGACAGAGACAGTGTGACATCATCGTCTGTTTCTGTCTCTAACACTAACGAGTTCTGGCTGCTGATTGGACAGTGACAGTGTGACATCATCGTCTGTTTCTGNGACAGTGTGACATCATCGTCTGTTTCTGTCTCTAACACTAACGAGTTCTGGCTGCTGATTGGACAGTGACAGTGTGACATCATCGTCTGTTTCTGTCTCTAACACTAACGAGTTCTGGCTGCTGATTGGACAATGACAGTGTGACATCATTGTCTGTTCTATCTCTCTGGCTTCTGATTGGACAGAAACAGTATGACATCATCGTTTGTTTCTGTCTCTAACACTAACAAGCTCTGGCTGCTGATTGGACAGTAACAGCATGACATCATCATCTGTTTCTGTCTGTGCTGCTGGATGAGGTCAGAGGATTCACCTCAGATGGTTTTGATGTTGATCTCACTGCTCCTCCTACGTTAACCTTTAATTAACTGAGTTACCCCCTCCCCCCCCACCCCATCTGAAGATAAAAACAGGAAGTGACCTCAGAACTGCTACTTATTTACCTTAACCTCTGATGAAAAAACACCTGCCTGCCTCAACTGGAGGAGTAACACTGAAACACACCAGTTACTGAGAGTTAATCTGTTACTAAGAGTTCATATGAGTTACTAAGACTTATTACAGGCTGCTTAGAGTTATTATGAGTTACTCAGAGTTAATATGAGCTACTAAGAGTTAGCATGAGCTACTAAGAGTTAGCATGAGCTACTAAAATAATGTGTTATTAAGAATTAATGAGTCATTATGAGTTAATAAGAGCTACTATGAGTTAATAAGAGCTACTATGAGTTAATAAGAGCCACTATGAGTTAATAAGAGCTACTATGAGTTAGTTTAAAATCTCAGATTTCTCATCTCATCCTTTTTTTTCTGCTCCTCCTCTTCCTCACTCTTCATGTCTCACTCCTCCTCCTCCTCACTCTTCATCTCTCACTCCTCCTCCTCCTCCAGCTGCGTTCATGATGTTAACCTGACCTTTGACCTCTGTTCTCAGGTGGGCAGGAGGAGTACGTTCTGTCGTATGAACCCGTCGTTCAGCAGGAAGGTGAGACCCGATGAGCTCTGAGGTCCAAAGACCAGGAGACATTTAATGGTTCTTCAGAACACAAACTGAACGGTTTTAATCAGATCTAAACTCAGGATAAAACGTGTCCTGGTTCAGGTATGACATCACTTCCTGTCTGTTCAGACCTGACCCGGTCCTCTTCTCTCTGACAGTGAACTACACTCGACCCGTCATCATCCTGGGCCCGATGAAGGACCGGATCAATGACGACCTGATCTCAGAGTTCCCAGATAAATTTGGCTCCTGTGTCCCACGTAGGTCCAGCAGACCCTCTTTACCCAGATGTTTGAGCTGTTCAGATCTGGACCGGGTTCTGTTCTGGTTCTGTTCAGATACAACCCGACCCAAGCGGGACTACGAGGTGGACGGCAGAGACTATCACTTCGTGGTGTCCAGGGAGCAGATGGAGAAGGACATCCAGGAACACAAGTTCATCGAGGCGGGCCAGTACAACAACCACCTGTACGGAACCAGCGTGCACTCAGTCCGCCAGGTGGCTGAGAAGGTACCAGAACCCAGTGACCCGGTCCGAACGGACCGCTAAAGAAGCTGTTCTTTAATCTGCAAACAAACAGGATGAGAAGGTGTTGTGTTCAGAGTAATATATTTTATTTTTATTTTTTCATGTTGCCTTCAGGGTAACCTCTGTTTTTTTTTTTTGTTGCCTTCAGGGTAACCTCTGTTTTTTTTTTTTTCATGTTGCCTTCAGGGTAACCTCTGTTTCTTGTGCTGCCTTCATGGTAAACATTTATTTCTCGTGCTGCCTTCAGGGTAAACATTTCTTTCTCGTGCTGCCTTCAGGGTAAACATTTCTTTCTCGTGCTGCCTTCAGGGTAAACATTTCTTTCTCGTGCTGCCTTCAGGGTAAACACTGCATCCTGGACGTTTCAGGAAACGCCATCAAGCGGCTCCAGCTGGCTCAGCTTCATCCTGTTGCGATCTTCATCAAACCTAAATCTGTGGAGAACATCATGTGAGTGTGCAGCTGCAGGTTTCTCCTCTGAAGCTTGACTTTTCTTTGATCTGGGACTCGTTTTTGTTTCTTGTCCCTGCAGGGAAATGAACAAACGTCTGACGGAGGAGCAGGGCAGGAAAACCTTCGACAGAGCTGCCAAACTGGAGCAGGAGTTCACCGAACATTTCACAGGTCAGAGCCGTTCAGTGCTGCTGCTTGACTGATGGTGGGTTGTTACAGACCTGCAAACCTGTTGCTTTCAACAAAACTCAACAATTTAAAAACAAAACGGGTCAATTATTGAATCATCTAGGAGTCATTTGGCCAATCACAATCAAGATAAATGTCTGTCTTAGTTGTGATTGGCCAAATGACTCATGTTTAGGACAGAGGGGTTTCTTCCTGTTTACCACCACAGTGGGGGTGAAGTTACCATAATACAGCCAGGTTGGCTTTAGAGTGCAACATTTTAACTTTTAGAAACACAATTTATTATAAAGTTAAGGTGAACAACACAGGATCATCTGAGCGTCTAAAATGGATTAACACTTTTTGTTGATGTTCAGGTCAGTTTAGTCGTTGTTCCAGCTGTCAGACATTAATAATGAAGGGACAATCTTTGTGTAGAGCAGGAAATGGAATGTGTTAACACTGTACAGAAAGAATGGACCAGGCTGGTTGTGTATTTCTCACGTTACACTGTTGTGTTACAAATTCATGATGTTCAGTGTGTAAAAAAATAAACTCTTACTGTAGTACAATTTTCAAGTATCTCAGATAAAGTTCACCTCCAGAAAGTAGCTGTAAGTCACTGCTTTACCTTTCAATAAATATCTAAAATCTTATTAAATAATTTAAATAAATATCTAACAATTTTATTAATGTAAGTATTTAGAACAGTGCACTTTAAATGGCTGGAGTATATATAGTTTAAATACTTTTTTAAATAAAAACCACCACCCTGAGTTGTCAGGTGTGTGATGGTCGGTCGGTACCAAACGATTATTTTCCAATCGATTAATCTAACGATTATTTTTCAGATTATTCTAACAACAAATCTAAAAGTTATTCTGATGTGAGTGCACTGGAAATTTAAAATGTTTTCATCAAATTAACAAGAACAGTTCTTTAATATTGTAATATTTTCTGTAATAGTTTTTTTCATGGACACAAAATATGCACTCTAGAGTCAATTCTTAACAAAAAAAAGTTTAAAAGATTTAACATCAATATAAAATTCAACCAAAAGAAATATAGTGTAAGATGTTAACAATCTAACAAATGAACTAAATCATGCAAAATTCAAGTCACTCT